TTTTACTGGCAAGTGGGCCGAGTTATTTAAAACATTACATATTGTATATAATATTACTGTTTGCTATTATTTTGCAAAGTTGTGTATTAATTATAAATAGGTAATTTTTCGTTTGTTTTTCACAAACTTTAATTCACATAATTACTTATATTTTAAGACAATATTATATAAATATCAGGACAGTACGAAAGCTTAAACTTCAGGACCTTTACGGTGAACAGAAATAAATTTAAGCAATCCAATTTTTCTTATATACAGCATTTGTATTTAGTTCATCCTAAACTGAACCAATTTTTATCAGTTTATACATGATATATACAAATACTTTAGCTAATCTCAAAACATGTAATCCTGGAAATATTTTTCAGAATAGGTAAAGCAAAACAGGAAATGCAGGATGTTTTATTCTTGGCTGATACTGCCCAGTTTCTCTCCTAAAACTGCCTATGGTTTAATGCAGCTTGACTTGAAGTAGTTCTTATGGAAAGTTTGTTCTGTAAGAAAGTCTATGCCATCCAGACTTTATACTTAAAGGAAATTATGCAGAGATTTTGACTAAATAAATATACCACAATATTTATCTCCATTAATAACATTCATAATTTTTGTAGATCATACCCTTCCTTGAACTTCATATAGCTACAATCTGAAAACTATTGACACAAATCTTTGGTATATTAAATGATAAAAAAAATAGCTGCATCAAAAATTACATTATAACTATCACTCACATAAATGATTTTATTTTAAAGGTTTTTTTAAACTAATATTTACATCTGGTGCAGTAGTCTTAGGGCAAGTCCATTACTTATCTGGTGAATTTAATTTTTAATTACAGATGTATATTTTCCACAAAACTCAGAACAGAATCCTGAAATTACTATAAAAGTCCAGCCAGACAAGTTAACATTTTGTTAATTACATGCTGTTTCGCCAAGGTGCTACGTTAATGAATATTTGTATTCAGTCTTGATCAGAAACATGCTGCACCTCTACTTCTACTGTTTGAATAGCTTCTGTAACCTCTGTTATTTTCTGTCCTTGTTGTTGTGCTAATACATAATTGACAACTTGCATGATACTTTGGTCAGAAAGAGTAGAAACTGTTGAACACTCTTCAGTAGCTGCAACAGGGTCAAGTGTTTCTTCAGTAATTACTACAGTCTCGATCTCTTCAGTACAGACCTCTGTTTCTTGTTCTGGCACATCCGATGTTAAAATACTGATGGCATGTTCGACTTGAGTCCCCTGATTATGAAACTGAAGAGTGTCCTTTTCCAGCATGATTTTACAAGGTACATAATCCCGGTGAAATTTAGTCATGTGCTTTCTTAAGGTACGGGCATCTATGTAGGCTTCATTGCATACTGGACATACATAAGGCCTTTCTCCAGTGTGTGACCTTACATGACGTTTTAAGGAACGTGCGTCAGCCCAAGCAACACCACAAGTTAGACACTCAAAAGGTTTAACACCTATTCAACAGAAACAGAAAGAAAGCATTTACTAATCTTTAAAAGTGAAAATTACTATAAAAATGATTAAGATGAGATTTTCTCATAGCCAGTAAGTTCATTATAGTATAAGCCTTTGAATAGTCATTTTGCATAGAGAAATCTTGACAGGTCACCTATAAACCCATGATATTTGGGGTTAATAAATATTTGTTAGTATTAAAATACAGAAAAATGGCATTCCTTCCCATCTATTTGCATGTTGCTATGATTATAATTTAAAAAGCTAGTTTTAAACAGATAAAAAGAAAATATCAAATTGCAAATACAACATATTAATATCTGTTCAGATACAGAATTTATAATTAGCTAATTAT